ATGAGCACCTTGCAAGTTACCTCTGGAGGTCAAACTAGGTAGTTGCGTGCAGAACGCAGTAGTGGAAAAGCATATCACTGGTTTAGAAAGTGTATGGTATGTAATCTGTATACGTGTAACATTATATCATATCACATCCAGATCTACTGGATGATGAAAGGAAAAACAACAGGCTGGGCCAAACCAAGGTCTTTCGCCTCTTCAATAACGTTTTCAATCGGGGTTTCGTTGATGGCAAATAAGGATAAGGACACCAACAACAACAACAACAACAACAACAGTGGTCAGAATCATTCTTTGTCCTTCCAAAAATCCAAATAGATGGTCACACGACCTTTGACCTCAGGTACTAGGTATGTCACACATTTTGGGAACATTGGAAGCAGCGGTATCTTACCGTAAAGAGATCAGAAATCATTATGAGGGCTTGGTAGGTAGTCTGTCTGACAGTGACGGGTTACCTAACTTGTTACTAAGCTTTTCGATTGAATGGATCGGAATTATCTGGAATTTGGATTATGTGTCCTGTTTGTTTGTTTCTGCTTTGTGAAATTACGATGAATCATTCAGAGGATCGCGAGTTTCGTTGTGACTTATGTGTTCTTATGATTATTACTGTTTCGAGCAAATTCCACAGGCGAGAAACCCCCGAATCGGGTTGTGTCATTCCAACACGAGTACATTGTACGGCTACAGTTAGGTGTCTTGTAGCCTTGTAGATACCTAATAAGTCAAGTCATAGTATCAATCTTGATGATGGATGATATCTATCCTTGCAGTGATTTCCGAAGTCATTGATCAATTCCTTGGAGAATCCTCAACAAATTTCAGAATTTATGTCATCTAGCTTCTTCCATGAGAGTCCAGACGTTCAAGTAAAAAACGTGTTTCGATTTAGTTTAGCTTCGCTATTGCCGACACAGCCTTCTCGAACCTCAACACGCGCCTTTGGAGCTTTCCTAGTAGTTAGAGACGGACTCCGGAGTTACATAAGAGATCGTTCATAGGCTTTGTAGCATCGCATGGAAATGTGAATGAATGGGAACAGCCAAGGCACTCACTCGCCATATTCGTCATTCTCTAGCCAAAGCCCAAGCTATAATCTATCTATTAATGCCAATCGAGAACCAGCACCACCAATGGTAACGAACGGTATTTTCCCCAGCTTGCAGGCGTAAAGATAGATAGACAGATAGCATTTGAGAGCGCCAAAGAAGGCACAGTAAAAGGCGGTAAAGTCCCTCTCTTTGACTGCTGGGGGGCAGACGACGGTAATGCAATGCATGCATTTCTTAGGGGCGTGCATAAAGGTAAGATTAGTTATTCATGGGCTTCGGTGTGATATTAATAAGATGATTGGCAGCCAATGGTATATCCATGAGGCGTTTCCAAGGAAAGAACCCGATCGAACCATGTAAGAGCAGCAACTATTAGTGATGAGAATCGTGAGATGTCTCCAATATTCTTAGAATGATTGGATAATCATGATCACTTTTGGTATAGCATTCACTGGATTAAGCGTCTTTTGGGTATGTGGTGGGCACTGGTGGCTGATAACAGCCGTTGCTGCTTTCCACTGATTCTTTGAAGGAGCCCTGGAATGTCGAGGATTTGTTTCCTTTGAAACTCCTTTGAGCGATCGATGATCAAGCTTGAATCAAATGTTATACCGGAGACGGCCAAGCAGTGAATCCTTAAAAAAGAAGGCTTGGGAAATGGTGTTACCATATTATTTACAGAAAGGCGTGGCTTGAAAGAAACAAGAGAGAGAGGAGAGAGAGAAAGAGAGAGAGAGAGAGTGTGTGTGTGAGAGAGAATGAAAGGGTGGGGTGTGAATTGAACGAATGAATGAATGACTGGTTAAATATTAGACTTGGAAAGCTTGGAGGCTTGAGCGTGTGAACACATCCATCCATCCCATTGAAAATCTGGGGGTGAAGTGAATAACAAGTTGACCCTCCGAGCCCCCTCCTTCTAATCATTTCTTTGTTGATATTTGATATCAAACGATAAGGGTCACTCCACACAGAGTATACGGCGTAGATAACTAGATAGAGGTACATATCAGACAGAGAGACAGAGAGCTTGAATCCAATCAGAAGTGAAAAGTAAAAATGATGACAGGAATACCGGTACCGGTACAGGAATATAGAATGATAGATATATGTAGATGCAATGCAACCCTTTGATTTATTTGATATTGTTCAACAGACGCCAGAGTCAAATAATTCATTCGATCCTCGATTCTTTTTCCTCTCCTTTCCTTTCCTTTCCTTTCCTCACTTCACTACACTTAACTTCAACTTCAACTTCACTTCACTCCACTTTCATTCCTCACCTCACCTCACCTCACCTCACCTCGCCTCGCCTCCCCTCCTGTCAGTCATCTCATACATTGTACCGTTTGAAATTTCGGTCACTTGAGCACATTTTCTGAATGTACTAGAAATTTTAAAAACCCAAGTGATTCAATTAGATTTCAAACCTTCACCCTGGAACCTCGCCAATCTTCGATTTACAATCACAATAGTCATCCAAAGTCCACGGCCGTCGAGGTCACCAAGCCTATTTCGAATATTTGGTTTCGTTTGGACTTGGAACTTATTTAGTTTATCTGTGGCCCTTCCCTTCCCTTTTCTGCCCGACGTCAAGCTCAACCAGACGGGTCTCCATCTTCAACACTACTTGACACATAATCTCGCACAAACCTATCTCGTCCAAGATTCCTCACGCTTGTCCTGTACTCATATCACGTATTATCAACTGAGAAAAAGATCTGCGACGGTTTCCCTATAATCATATGCCGCGGATTCTTACATACCGAAAAGGAAGGACAACAAGTTCTTGCAGGACCTACGCAGACAATCATAATATTTGACCATTATTTACGACCCATTTCATGAAAGACGACGAACAATTACGAATAATTACGAACGAAATATATCCATATACACAGACACACGAGATTGATTAATCCCTACCTAGGTACACTTATTATTGCCTCTCTATCCACGACTCACGAATTCACTCGGTACTAATTCACACCCAACCTAGTGAATAGTACTCTACTTATCTATCTACCTATTCATTCATTCAATTATATATACAACTACATCTACATCTACATCTACACTCACCCTCACACTCCCACTCCCACTCAACAACATAGACCTTCAACCTCATCACCACTCCTCTCTCTCAACCAATCACCTGACAGCTTTGAAACCTCAAGAACCCTTTTGCAAGCGTTTCTCATACCTAAGTCTTCAACTCTCCAGATCCACCGGTACAAGTGACAACTACACCTGAACCACCACCTGCGAGCCAAAAGCCACATCAACGCTCATCTGGTTCTAGCCCCAAGCTGATTTATTTTCTTTATTTCTTTATCTATCCAAACTGCAACAAGGTTCCTTCATTTTCCATTCCTTGGAGACCCCTGGCAGGAAACAGGCACTTATTAGACACCTCATCTCGATATCCCTACACCCCACTCCACCCACTCCAAAAACCGGCCTTTGCTTTCGCTTACTGTTCCCTTCCCTTCGACTCATCCTACTTACTCTTCTTCGCCTTTCCACCTGCCGACTCATCCACCTCACACCTTCAACTCCACATATGTGCGTACGATAATACTGGCTACAATCATCGTCGTTCGCAGTTAACTTCCTCCCTTCCCCCTCCCTCTCTTTTACCTCTTCTCCTCTTTCTACACTCTCGACTTCCATAACTCATCAACAAATAATCCCGACCGAGATACCCTTTCCAACTCTTGATCTTGACGAACCCTCTACCACCTTCTCTCCCTTTCCATCGCCCATTCCTTTGAACAAAGCAACAACCACAACCACTTATCTCGTTCTGCGTCACACTGCTTGCTACCACAGCAACAACTACATTCCCGAACATCCACAAAGCTTTGCAGATCCTGTTGTAATCGTCAACCTCAACAAAGGTCAACCGCATTCTTCTACCTCTTGATCAATCATCCTCCTCTCCTGATTTACTTCCCATCGAACTCCTATTGTCGTCAACCTACACTTTCGAACATTGGTAGAAGAAGAGTCATATCTTCTACTTCCTTGTTCTACAAATAAACCACAGTAAACACATGAGTTTCAAGTCAACATTGAAGCGTTTATCACGATAGCCAACTTGATCATCTCCGATCTGTGATACACACGCCGTCAAAGTCTTCCATTGCAAGATCATTCACTCCAGATCTGTGCGAGTCATCGATCACATCTGCTCTACCAGATTCTCACATCACCTCATCTCGATATTGCACAATTGATTGACTTCAATTGTGTGATTGCTCTCTTGATTCGACCCACCAAATCGACATCACACCTCAACTCACCCACACGTACGTTAAGTCGTACTACTCGAGGAACCTTCGAAACCTCAGACACTCGTTCTATCAACGTCTGACACATATGTCAGCATAACGATCTTCAACTCTTTCCTTATTCTATTTTATTACCAGACCTCGAGTCTCTCTTCTTTGTCCCATTTAACGAACAAATTCAATAAATCTCTTTTGTCAAAGCGTATTCGAAATACCCCCTATGAGCCTCTGAACACCCTACTTCTACGATCCGGAGTTATTCACCAGTTATCATTTTCTTTTTTCGGCGGTTAGGATACATTTATATAGCGTTGCGAGTTTGTTTTTATTGCCCATACACCTTTTATCGCCTTGCTTCATTCAGATCGAACTACAACCTCACTTATTCACTCCGACAATCTTCAAGAGCATAGCTCCCCTTGTGCCACCATCGACTTTGTTTAGAGAAGACAAAAGCTTTTACGAATTCCACTTGTATCTCTCGATTCTTTACCTCTCAGGGCCCAAAAACATTTCGGTTGTAACAGTATTCAAAGCTGCACTTTTGTTTTTAAGTTTATCTATTTAATTTGCACACTTCACTCCTATTCGACCTTCATACTTCTTTCTTTACTCACATCACACTTCCCTACTTCAACCCTTCATCACAACAATGGAGTGCTTAAGAGAGAAGTTTTACGACGGAGTCGTCCTTGATGGACGTTTTGAAACGATATCCCCCCTCAACCATGGTTCATTTGGAATGGTTTTCATGGCGAAGGACCTAATTACCAACGAAACCGTTGCTATCAAGTGTTTAACCAAGAAATCTGCCACGATGACAGATGCCGACTCGTCATTTGCCATCGATGAACACTCTGAAGAATTATCCTGCCATGCTCGACTTGGCTCCCACCCAAACATAGTCAACCTCATCCACTCCTTCGAGACCGAAGCCCATGTGTACATTGTTCTAGAGTTTTGCTCTAGGGGCGACCTCTACGAGGCTATTCGAACTGGCACTGGCCCACTCGAAACAGAACATGTCCGACAATTTATGCTACAACTTATCGATGCTGTTGCATACATTCACAGCAAGGGCATGTATCATCGTGATATCAAACCCGAAAACATTTTCCTTACCCAATCAGGAGAGATGAAGCTTGGTGACTTTGGCCTTGCAACCTCTGAGAAGTGGTCATATGAAACCACCGTAGGAAGCGACCGTTATATGTCTCCAGAACAATATGACTCTGCCGGCGCGGGATACTCTCCAGAGCAAGCCGATGTCTGGGCCATTGGCATTTGTCTGTTGAACATCTTGTTCTCTCGCAATCCTTTCACAACACCTACAGAGTCTGACCCACTTTTCCTCGACTTCACTCGAGACAAGCAATCACTCTTTGATGTCTTCCCAACAATGTCACAAGATACCTACGAAGTTATTGCTCAATGCATGAGCCTCGATCCTCGAAAGAGATCACTTGCCGCTGCTCGTGAAGCCATCGAGCGTGTACTTAGCTTCACAACATTTGATGAGTTCGCCGATGACTTCAGTTCTGCCGATCGACGCGGTATTCCCAGCTCAAACCGTGAGCCATTGCGTACACCTTCCATCCAAAGCCCTCAACTCGATGCGGGTGCATCTTTCCCTTGGGCCAAGGCATTGCACGCCAGCCCACCGTTCCGCCAGCTCTCTGCCATCCCAGATGAAGATTATGACTCCGAGGACCTCTTCCCCGGCTCCGAAGCAAGCAACAAGGATTGGTTCTCTATTGGAGAACAAACCCCTTCAATGGAATCAATTCTCGATTCTTCCCTTGGAACTTCGATGCAATCTCTAGCCATCCGCCGCCACATGAAGTCTAGTCCTCCAAAGGCTAGTCTAACCCCCATCTCTGGATCTCTACCAATCGCCATGGCAAAGCCAATCCCATTGCCATCTATGGCATCAGTCTTTGGCAAGAAGACCGACATGGTATCTAAGAGTTGGGGTGATCTCTGGGACGAAGAGATGGAGGAGGAGGAAGAGCTCGACAATCACTTCCAAGCCCGTCAAGAAGCTAACTCGCGAACTTGGAGCCACGAGAGCAAGACCAATGATGACAAGGCTGGCAGATCTCCATTGGAACCTCACACCTCATCATTTGTCAATATACCGAGAGTGGCACCCAGCCGTGCAGTGGCTCATGATATTGACGAGGATTTGGTGCCTGATGGCTTCTTTTTCCACGATACCCCTACTCAACAAAACTCACCTCGTTATTCACCACCCTCAAAGAGGACTGCTTTCGACAAGTGGTCTGCGCTCGGAGATCGTCGAAGGGCATTTGCAGGAGCATCACCCTCTGAAAGATCTATTGATACGTGGAAGACTCAAAGCACTCCACGTCGGGACGTTGGATTAGGGTTTACTGGTTTCGGTACAGGTGGTTGGGATACTAAATCGAATATTGTTAGTAAAGACAAGGGCAGAGAATGTCCATGGGCGCGGGCCAAGGGCCGAGACCATCATCATCAGGACAAGCGAAAGGACAAGCAGTCTGATCTCGGTGATTTGGAGTGGGTTGGAGGTTGGCATGACCTCCACTTGTAGTCATACGCTTTAGCTGTCTTTTTTATATTTTTCTCTCAGACATACTACTCACACAATTGCTTATGGAGGATCGAACATCATGGAAGAAGCTGTGTTCTTGAATATATCAACAAATATTACTATAGGAACGGAAAGGATGTGTCGATATTGGCTTATTGATGAGATAGCTGGTGGAAAGAGAAAAGTTGAGAAAGGACTTTTAGATAGGACTCGCTTTTCTGGTGGATTAGATAGATTATCATCTCAAAAAACTTTTGTTGCGGAGATGAATGGCTTGATAAATACCAGATAATTACCCACTCTATATTTTTGTTTCCTTTGTGGTGTATTTTGTGTGATCTGAAAGAGTTTGAGTCGTATGTTTTTAGATGTAGGTAGGTGCACAGGATGTGGGGGTGCAATAGGTAGGTGGGGGGTGGTTCTCGAGAGCTTTCGGTAGTCAAGTTCGTGGGTGGGCGAGCTTCTTTGTGCTGTGCTGTACTGACCACTTCCCCCCTTCACTCGGTACCATGTATGAGAATAAACGGGATGAGGAGCAGAAGAAGCGGGCGATTATACGTTTCTCAAAAGACTGAGATGAGAGGGATGTTGCGTTGCTATCAGTATCTAGCATGCATTCTCCTCTCTTCGTATGATATCGAAGGGGGCGTGGGATGGTAGGTCGGCGTAGGTAGGTAAGGCTTCTTCATATATGATGCAGATGAACATGTCGTGGCATGAGCAGCGATGTAGTGCAGGCGATGGGCCTCGTAGATGGAGATTGGTTCTAAGGATTAGTGTGAGGATGAAGGGGAGGAGAGGGGAAGGGGAGGGAGAGGGAGGAAAGGAGATGAGATGAAGGAGATGAAGAGGATGAAGATTTGCGGGGCACAGAAGTGAGGAGAGGAGGTGGGTTGACGTGCATGGTGTGGATGATGTGGGGATGGAGTAGAATTATATGGTGGATTCTGGGAGAGGATGAGGATGAGGATGAATGAGAATAGATGAGGATGCAGATGAGAGGAGAAGTTGCTAGTGCAATGTATATGTATTCATAACATGATATCGTATATCGTATATCGTAATATGAACCACTCAAAAACTCAAAAGGAGAAAGAAAGAAAGAAAGAAAGAAAGAAACAAAGAAAAACAATCTGAAAATCGAAAGATTGAAATATTTTTCCGTGTTATATTGTTTTGTTTTGTGTTGTGTTTATATTCTTTTCTTTTCCATTTTTTAATTTTAATCTCTTCGATTTTTGCATTTTCACAAATTATGGGATTTGTGCGAATTGGGGAAATCAATTGGGTGTGGATGGTTGATTTGGTGCTAAAATATTAGGTATGTATGACGGAATGGTAATTTTTTGAATTTGTACGGATGTATTCGACTCGGTTATTTTTGCGTGTTGTACAAGCACGGTGGATGGAGTGGATGGAGTATGGAGAGGGAAGCTAGAGGGTGGGGGAGGGAATGGGTTTGGGTTTGGGTTTGGAGTGAGTTGAGTTGAGGATGATTGAATATCTGTTGCGGTTTGTGGTTTGTGAATTGAAAATTGAGAATTGAGAATTGAGAATCCGGTACTGCTATATTAGAATGGACTGAGCTGAGAGAATTAAAGAGCTCGGTCGGTCGTCATGCTGAATCCAATTCAATCCAATCACTGTCTGTCCCTGCATCACTGATCGATAGATATGATATATATCAACACACAAAGAAGCAATGGTTATCTGTATCGGTCGTGATATTTCTACATCTAAAATATCTAAACTACAGAGAAGACCTGGAAGCCGATGGGGAATTCCCGGAGTAGGGGGATGAGAATGCAAGATTCCTATTCGAAGTAGATATTAGCATCATTGGTATCCATTCGTTTCTTTCTTCAAATCGAGTATATCTATCTACCTATCTACCTACCTATCTATCTATCTACCTATCTATCTATCTACCTACCTACCCCTTCTCACAAGCTCACATTCATTCATTCCTAGGGAAGTGCCTGCAGATAAAAATACAGATACACAATAGAATCTCTATGCTGGCGATCTAGAGATTCCCATTGGTTTGGATTGTTTGGAAGCTGGCTAAAACTAGGTAGCTAGGTAGCTTGGTGCTATCATAGGTACTTGTTCAGAAAAGGAAAGCAGGAGTTCATTATTTCCTTTCTCGGAAAACTATGCTATTCCAAGGTTCTGGAAATAAAAAGGTAGCGATTTCTCTTCCCTTTTCGTCGAAGGCTTTTCTTGATATTGGTAGCATGGTAGGTAGGTAGTTATCATACTTGTATTGTATTTCGGGCTTAAATGAAGTATGGGGCAGAATATCAATTTCATCGAAAGGCATGAGCATAATTTCTTTCTGTTTCGTCACTTTGTCGCCTCGAGAAGCTTCCGGTGTCTCTGCTTACTACTTCGGCTTTGGAACCTCTGGGTCTTGGTGGGGAAGCTGTGTTTCTTCGTGTAATCATCTTTACTCTAATTACAACCCTCTGAGAGAAGCAGAGAGATCCTGCATCTACCTACGCCTTCGGTCTAAGTTTGTAGCTCAACGAAACTAGTGTTAATAGGTAGTGACCCATGACTTATACCCAGCTATTTTTCAATGTCACCTCCCTTGAAAAATTACTCACTAGTATGATCTTCGAGGCCAACGTAGATTCGAAATTAGTATGCCTCCATTGTCGAGCGAGTTTCGAGCATTGTTTGTCACTGGTCGTCAGAGAGTGAGTCGTTGATATTCATTCCAACCAAATTATCATATTCACGCGGGACGTCGATTTCAAGTTGGAATCTGCGCTCTAACATTCGCAGTTCTCACATACCAAGCACTTGGATTTAATTCCAAGCTTCGCCCCGAGTAATTGACTGTCTGTTCTAGGCAATTTAATCATTGCCGCAGTTGTTGTATTGTTGTCACCGACTTTGATGCACGCTTGAATACGTCGGCTATATTCAGATTGAGAATATATGTATGTTTTTCTATGAATGGAGCTCACTGAATTTCAACTAGTAGCCTCCTAGTATCTATACACAGTGAAGTTCATTGCATTCCCGACCCATAACTTCCTAATTTTCTTACAGAGTAACGTCCCTTCATATATCCTTTAGATCCACAGTATTTACCCACCCAACCTTCCCCCAAACGCCATCGCCATGCATATCTATACATTTGGAACTTTTCAAATCATACCTCCCTCAACTTCACTCGCCACGTTCCGTTCTTCTCTCTTCCTAACCACTTCATCAAACATGTTGGCCTTTTGAACCGCCCTCGATCTCTCCCTTACAAAAGCCAACAATCTCAAACATCCACTCGGCGTCATCCCCTCAATCCTCCTCGCCTGTCCTACACTCTCGGGCCTGGTGATCTTTAACACCGATTTCTCATGCATAGAGATCCCATGAATAGAATCATAATCTAAATCTACAGGTAGTCTCAGCATCTCATCTTTTTCGAAGATTCTCTGCGCAGCTTTTTGTTGTATGACATATGGCGCATAGACGGCTTCGATGCCAACCCTATCTCGGATTCTTTGGGTATATGTTAGGATCTCCGGGACACGAGTCGAAAGATCGTTCATTGTGACATCTCGAATACGTAAAATGTCCAAGGCGTTTCGCATAGTGCTATCATTTGATACTTTGAAGCCATCGTTGATCCATACCGGAGCGCTGAATTTACTATTTTCGAGCGCTGATTTGAGACCATCCATCTGAGCGACCTCGTCATTGAAGGCGGACCAGCGTTTTTCTCCTACTACCCCTGCTAGTCGTCCCTTTTCCGTAAGTCGTAAATCGGCGTTGTCAGCTCGGGCACTCATACGGTATTCGCTGCGAGATGTGAACATGCGGTAAGGTTCAGAAACACCTTTGGTGATGAGATCATCGATCATGATTCCGATGTACCCATCACTGCGGGATAAAGTCAATTGTGGCAACGATTGTGATGCAAGTCCGGCGTTGATACCGGCTATAATACCTTGCGCGGCTGCTTCCTCGTAACCTGTAGTACCATTGATTTGACCTGCTAAGTAAAGACCCTGAATTGCCTTTGTTTCGAGTGTTGCTTTTAGACTTCGAGGGTCGACATAATCGTACTCTACACCGTAACCAGGGGCGGTCATTGTGACATTCTCTAGTCCTGGAATGGTTCTCAAGAGTTGTTCTTGGGCCTCCGCGGGTATTGTCATGGAGATACCATTAGGATAGATGACATCGCTGTCAAACCCTTCGGGCTCTAGCCATACAATGTGTCTATCTTTATCGAAAAATCGAACAACCTTGGATTCAAGCGATGGGCAGTACCTGGGGCCTTTCACGGTCTCTCTGATATGAATAGATTTGTCCAGATTTGCCCGGACCACAGCATGTGAAGCCTCATTCGTGTATGTAGCATGGCAGAGCAATTGGTCCTGGACAGACACAGCCTCGTTGAGATAACTGAAAGGTGTCGGTGGCTGATCTCCTGGCTGTACAGTAAGATTTCTAAAGTCGATGGAACCCTTTGCAAGGCGAGGAGGTGTTCCCGTTTTCAGTCTTCCCAGAGTAAAACCAGCGTCTTTCAGCGATTTGCTCAAACCAAATGTTGCAGCTTCTCCCATGCGCCCTGCAGGATAACACTCTAAGCCGATATGAATCTCCCCGCCCAAGAATGTGCCAGTCGTGATAACCACTTGTTTCGTAGGTATAATTTCGCCCGATTCCAGTCGCACGCCTGTAATCTTGCCACTTTGCGCCTCACCCTCCTCCTTCGAAACAATTATATCCGCTACACTCCCGGTAACGATTGAAAGATTCGGATACGCTTCTAGCTCTTCTCGCATATGCTTTTTGTATAGATCCCTATCGATTTGCGCTCTTGGACCCTGACAAACATTAGTCCACAATCTCGAAAAGCCGCCGCCACAATGACACCTACCCAAACCGCAGGGCCTTTCTTCCGATTCAACACCTTAAACTGCACTCCCGCTTTATCAATAATTCTTCCTGCAACTCCATCCAGTGCATCTACCTCCCTCAAC